CCCATTGCTGCCAAGTTGATTCTGACTCATCGCGACCCTAAAGGACAGATTAGAACTGCCCCATAGGGTTTCCAAGGAGCGGTTGGTGGATTCAAACTGTTAACCTTTTGGTTAGCCGCCGGATTCTTAACCACTGTGCCACCAGGGCTCCTGGGCTCCTACAGAAACAGAAATTAGGAGTGTCTAATCCAAATGGCTTTGTATAGACTGGGCACCTGAGGTCCAGAAAGGTTACTGCCCCATTAAAATGCAAGTTTATTAATAAACAATTTAGCTACATGTATATAGAAAGACATCTACTGAATAAAACAAGGAACAGGAACGTTTAAAGTTCAGTGATAATAACTATCATTTGAGATAATTTCAAAGGAAATCACATGATATAAAGTCTTTGGCAAATGTAAACCAAGGTTCCTGCCTAAGATGACTCTTAAAAAGCCATATGTTAGCACTGGTATGATACCAAGTCCGTTTATTCAAGGAAGCTGCTTTCTAGTACATATGTTAAGACAGCTGGTTCTCTTACATCTAGTTATGCTAATCAAATGGCTTAGCCATATAGTTTCAAAATATAAAACATATCTTAATGATACAAAATTTTACCTAAATGATATTTTCTCGTAAGTTCTTTACTATTAACTAAATAAATAATTTGAGACTAAAGATTTGTTCACTGGGTTTGGTTTTTGTAATACCTGATAGATGCTTGCTTGCTCTGGATACCTCCCGAAAAGCTGTCAAGCAGTTGTATACGGAAATGTCAGTAACATGGGTTGCAAGAGTTCCAGAGTGATTCAGATGGTGGAAAAGGCCGCCATCCAAACTGAGTAAAGAGTCACTCTTCAACAATGCAAAGTGATTACCAATCCATCAAGAAACCAAATGGTTTCTACAACAGTAATTCTTCCTTTTGTCCAGAAATAGAATATACTAAGAAATAAAGGGGAAAACTGGTTTGGAGGAACCAGAGATATGGACCATTTAAGTAACCTTCCCAGTTTACTGTCTCATCTCTGAGACAGTACAGGTGACCCTATAAATATATAAAAGGAAAAAAAAAAAAAAGATTACCTCAGAAATGTCAATGTTATTTATATAAAAACAAGAATATTACGTTCTTCAGAAAAACTGCCAGCAAAAACTTCATTAAAAACTACAAACTTAAAAGACACTTGGAAAAACATCTACAACTAGACTGTTTAATTAGGTACTCATCTTGGAGACAGCAAATTGGGCAGCAGCTTATTGTCTCATCTTTGCTCTAAGAAATCTGCTTGACAATACTAAAAACAGATTTCTTTGTTTCAGAGAAAGCATTTGTGGAAAACTGGCATTTAATTCATACCAAAAAGTGGTTTCAGAGTTGACCTATTAGTTCACAATTACGGGAAAGAGGTCAAGGAAGTTTGGTTATTTCTTACACAAATAATAAAATAAAATTGCATTCCTTACCCTGACAACTTGCCGGGTACTTGTAATGAAGGCTTTTCTTATACTCAATTCAGTTGCATCGAGGTTGAATTTTCTAGGATTTGCTTCAACTATGCGTGGGTCAAAAAGTCAAGGTAAAGCAATTTCATTGTCAAAAGCCTGACAAACAACATCCTGTTAAATAACAGACTCTCTCACATGCAAGCAATAAAATCTGGCCCAAACTTTCTGAAAACATAGTCAACTTAACGCTAATCATTCTCAAACTTTCTCTGCCTGCAAGCTGTGTAAGGGTTCCTATGCCCACAGCAGAAACGATCTGTCAGTCTAAGAACCACAGCCTCTGCTGATGGGGTCCACGACAAATCCACATTGTCTGGCAACAGCTGAGCTGGGCTCTTCCTCATGCTTGCCAGCACCTCCTATTTATCCCTTTTTGACTCCAGACCACCTTTTCCCATAACAGCTTTTGCAAACCTTTTACACTTGTCACTCCAAACCATTTCCACTGATGCCAAGAAGCTAACCCTACTTCTTACTCTAAAAAGATCAAGGTCAGGGAAGGCTTCCCTGACTCTCCTACCCCTCTAGCCTGGTCCAATCGCCCCACAGGCACTCCCATAGCTGTCTGTATTTTTCTCTCATAGTCTGTAAGTATGTATTTGTGTTATTATTTGATTAATGTCTGTCTTCCCCCTACTATGCCATAAATTCCATGAGGGCTGCTACACTGTTTTGCTTATCAATCTAATTTCCATAACTGACAAAATGCCTGGCACATAGTACATTCAATAAATATTTGTTAAATGACGAATATCTATCAAAATTTTTTCCTCTTTATCTCACATTGTTTCTTTCTCCTCCAATCTTTTATCCTTCTCTCCTGCCTCAAGGGAAGATGGATCTCTCTGTAACTGTGGCTTTTAATTCCACCCTTCACATAGTTTGTTCCACTGATTTTAGGAAATACACTTGTCTTTTAATAATTTAAATGGTACCTGGATCATTATGATTGCTTAAAATTATTTATTTGACATATCACCTTCATATGTACCTGTGCTGACTATAGCATGATCCTGACAAAAGCTGGTTTCCTTGAGGTTTTATCTCACTTACAAGAAACACAAAAAACAAAAAACCCAGAGCTCAAAACATGCTACTGGCATATTTTCCATTGAAAGTTCTGGTTAAATGAGATTTCTAGCTGACAAAAGGCCATATAATTCTGCTTTTACAGTTCTCTGGTTGGTCAGATCAGTGGACTTATTTAACATGAATTAGCACAACAGATGTGCTTTGACTAAATGTAGTTTCATGGTACAAGATTCCTTTGCAATGGAGATTGGTACTGTAACATCACTTCTTAAACAGGAAAATGTTTATCTAAGGATCTTCTTTGATCTCTAATCTTATAATATTGGTCTATAGATACCTCTCTGAAACGATAGCTAACACTTTTATAAAACCTTACTGTGTGTCAGACATTTTCTATGTTCTTTGTATGTTTAATCCTCATTTAACAACCCTATGAGCTAGGTATAGTATTACCCTAACTTTCTACTGAAAAGGAGACTGAGTCGAGAGGTTAATCAATGTGCCCAAAGCTACACCATTAGTAACTGGTGGAGTCAGGACTTGAACACCAGCAGTATGACTCCAGGGTCTGGGTTCACAACCATTACACATTGCCTCTATATCACAGGATTTGTCAGCACTATAGAAGAATTTGGCTACCCTATTTTAGCTTACGGAGCACTGGTGGCATGGTAGTTAAGAGCTTGGCTGCTAACCAAAAGGTCAGCAGTTCGAATCCACCAGCAGCTTCTTGGAAACCCTATGAGGCAGTTCTACTCTGTCCTTTAGAGTCACTATAGAGTTGCTATGAGTCAGAATCAACTTGATGGCAAGGGGTTTGGTTTTTTCCAACGGGTATCTCAGCTTATTGGGCAATTATTTTAGATGTGTCAAAATAAGAACAACATTAATCCATTATTTAAAAAATGTATAATCTATGTACTTGAGACATTTGGATAAAAGCTTGTCCACTTGTCTATATACCCCAAATGGCATGCACACCACAGAAAAGGATATTGATAGTTTCGTCAAGGTCCTCTAGATCCCACTCTATGCTCCGGAGGTTGTTTCTCAGTTCGTTGGTGGTCCAGTCAATTTCTTCCCTTGTTGCTGTGGAGGGGTCCTGGAGGAGCTCTGTCCATCTCTGAAACAATCCCTGGGCAGTGTTGACTGCTTTTTGTACCTCTCTGTAATCAAGGTAAAGGGAATGCAGAGAAATCACAGAAAACATATTTCATGAACACGTTACTGTATGATGTAAGTTAACATTTACCATTGTACACCATCCTCAGCAACCACCATTCCCAAAAGTGTTTTTAAGTTTTCATAGAAGAAAACCCTTCACGTACAAATATCAAAGTTCAAAGCTTTAAATAAGAGTCTGAGAATTAGGTTCTCAGCTGATGTTTGGAATAAAATAGTCATTATTTAAAGTTATATCAAGTTTTTTGACACGCACATTTAATTCTTCTCTGAACAGACTGTATTTAAAAGTAGTATAAAAAGCAATCCTACAAATTAACTAAAGGGCCCTTAACATTCCAATATATTAATATTCAGATGTAAAAGTCCTAATACAGATTTTCTTTTACAGCTAGTCTTTTATAAATTAAGTATTATAATCTGAGACATTTTTAAAGCCAAAATGTCATTAAAGATTTCCAAACATTATTAGCTTCATATATATCTACTTTTCTGGATTAAGCAGTGCTGTACAGCAGATTAGTGTTTTTCCTGTTTAGAGAGTGAGAATAGGCCACTAAGTGCTTTGATCTTATATGCTTTTAGATTAAATATAGTCACAAAATGCAGTGCAGTGAATTATCATTATACAGCCGTTCTAGTCATGGTCTTGTAACTCCCACAAAATGATTGTGTGAGACTATGCAAATAAAGTGCTCATGGCCCACCAAGGGGACTGGACAGCCACTAATGCAAATAAGGTGCGCAGAACCCTTGCAGGGTATTAGTCAGTTTTGCCATCCCACTAGGCTTAAAGGGAGCCAATCCCAGAGGTTGGAGGGGGGACCTCACTCCCATCAAGAAGAAGAGCCGAGAGCGGAACGTGTCCTTTGGATCCAGGGTCCCTGTGCTGAGAACTTCCTAGATTCAGGAAACTGAGAGAAGGAGCTGTAACACTGAAGACAGCGAGAGACGGCAAGGCAGTGGAAAGAAGTGGTAGTAAGCATGGCAGCAAGAAGTGACAGCAAGCACAGCAGAGTCCAGCGGCAAAGAAACAGCAGCAGCAGAACCAGGAGAATAGTGCCAAGATGGTGTAGTGGACTTCCTGGCCCACGGAGTGAGGCGGTTGAGGTGGGCCTGCTGACCCACAGAGTGAGAGCTGAGCATCTTCAAGCAGGAGGCTTACTGGCGGAGAGGGGTGCCTCTGGGCACTTGTCAGTTAAGCTAAAGAGCTTTGTAACACTTGCCCGAGCTGGGGCGAGGCCAAGAGCAGGGGCTGAGGGTGAGGGACCTCAGATTCCTGCCTGTGGGCATGGCTGAGAAGAAGCTGTCCTGATCAAAGAATTGTATCCTGAGTTGTCCCTGTTACCTCCAAGTGGATCCTGATCCTAATAAACCCTAAGAAACCTCATAATCGTAATTATGGTCTGTGAATCCTGTGTGGCCATTGCAACAGATTATCGAACTCAGCAGAGAAGTAGAGAATGTGGTGAGGGGAATGGCTGGTGTCAGAATTGGTGAAAAGGTTGGAAAATGGAGGTATGTTTGACCTCCACCTCACAGGAATCAGCTTTAGGCTGATGTTGATGGTGATTCTCTCTCCTCCCCTTGAAGTTAGACAAGGTCTGATGAACGTTCTCCCCCAGCACTGGGCCAAATTCCACCATTTAAATGTTATCATCTGCATGTAAAAGCCAAATAAAAAAGGGGCCATTTTTTAATAATATGCTCTGTCTTGTACAAGGAAAACCCCACTGTTCCCAAACTAAGAGATTGGTTTTGATCCTTCAATTTCTAATTCTCCTGGAACCAACAGCACAAAAATGTGTTCCAGCTGATCAAGATGCTTGTCTATGCCTTTAGGACAGAATTTGCATGCATCCTATTCCCCCTGCCCTTTCAAGTACCAGAAGAGAAAGCACTAACAGAAATGAAGTGATATTTATGATATTTAGCTTCATAGCAAACTGATGAGAACTAAAAGGTTAAGTATTAAACAGAGAATACAGCTACTGAGCTTCAGACTGAATAAATCAGTAAGCTATATGGCCAACAATGAAATCTATAAGGCGTGTTCATAACCAGTTTATGGGTTAGGTAAGTCCTCTCATTGCTCCTCTCATGTCAGACTTTGGATTTCGGTGCTAAAGAAGGAAACTCTCTTTGAGAAGAAAAGGGGAAGGATTAAGGACATGAAATGCAAACCTGCTATCTTTACTCTTTATTGCAGTTTCTGGCAAATTTGGTGGCGAATGAGATACACATCTTCCCATAATGTGAAGTACTTGGTTTATCTGTAAACACTGAATATCATCTATGATGATGGAAGACAGAGTTAAAGAGCTACCTGTAATAATATTTCATTTTAAAGAATACAAAATTTATCAATTTTAGAAACCCACCAACCAAACTCACTGCCGTTGAGTCGATTCTGACTCATAGTGACCCTACAAGACAGAGCAGACCTGCCCTATAGAGTTTCCAAGGAGCGCCTGGTGGATTCGAACTGCTGACCTTTTGATTAGCAGCCATAGCTCTTAACCACTATGCCACCAGGGTTTCCTCAATTTTAGAAAGTAAGTTTAAATTCCTTCCCGAAAGCCTCAAACCTAAGAAACTTTAAGCTAGCTCATACCATGTTTCCACTACCAGTACACAACTCTGATTCTGTAATTAAATTCTCTTAAGTTACGGTCCTTAAACTTTTTTGGTCTCAGAACTCTTTTGTATTCTTAAAAATTACTGAGGACCTCAAAGAACTTAGACTGCTGTGGGCTGTATCTATCACTATGTACCATATCAGGAATTCAATCGGTCATTTAAAATATATTTATCAATTAATTTAAAAATAGCAATAAACTTATTACACGTTAACACAGTTTTCAGAAAAAATAATTTCTAAAACAAAAAATCTAGTGAGTAGCACTGTTTTACATTTTTGCACATCTCTTTAATATCTGATTTAATAGAAAACAGCTGGATTTTCATATCTGCTTCCACATGCAGTCTGCTGACATATGCTTTGGGTGAAGTATATGATGAAAATTCAGCCCACATAGATATACATTTGGAAAATAGAGTAGTATTTTAATAGTCTTTTTAGATACTTGTGGATATTCTTTTTTGAAACCACACCAACACTTGACAAGCAGTAGTTTCTTAAAGGTCAGCTGCAATACAGAAGCTGAAACCATATTAATGAACTTTTTGAACTCTCATACATTACAACTCATTGGTCTATCCTGTACTTTGAACGGATCTTTTACCCAAGCATGATTTTATATACTTTTATAATATCATGTACTGGCCATTAGAAATACTAGTTTACTGAGTACTGCAGGTCTTCCAAATGTTGATTCAATCCACTATACAATATCCAAAACTATATTCGTTACTATCACCAACAAGATCATCAGAAAAACTTCAGTATTAGGAGTCTCTAAGACCACAGTAGTGAATATAGGTTTTCCAAAATTCTATTATAAAAAAAAAGGCTCTAATTTTATCACTGGTAAAAATACTGTTAGTTGTTTTCCTTGAGGTGACAGGCTCACCTCATTCATTTTTAATATCCTCAAGTACTGAGATAATTTTGAGATTTGAGAAGATATGCAAGTCTGAATAACCAGGTTGTCTGCCAGTCATTTTTTCAAGTAAAACTGAGGTCGGCGGGGGCAGGGCAGGGAGGGGAATACTATTTACTCTCACAACTCAATTACAGAAGTGCTCTTCCTGGGAACAACCGTTTTTCTTCACAATACAGCAAAATGCTTTATGCACACTTCCCATTTTGTCACATAGAATATTAAAGCATGTACTAAGACAGGGAGAAAATATTTACAACTTACATAGCTGACAAATGACTTGTATCCAGAATGTGGTTAAGCATTCAGCTGCTAACCAAAAGGTCAGCAGTTCGAATCCACCAACTGCTTGCTCCCTGGAAACCCTACGGGGCAGTTCTACTCTGTCCTACAGGGTCGCATGCTATGAGTTGGAATCAACTTGATGGCAATGTGTTTGTTTTTTTTTTTAAATCCAGGATATATAAAGAACTCTCAAAACTCAGTAAGAAAACGAACCCAATTTTAAAAATGGGCAAAGGTTTGGACAGTCACTTCACTAAAGACAGACAGATAACAAACAAGCACATGAGAAGATGCTCAATACCATCTGTCATTAGGAAAATGCAAATTAAATATACAATGAACTACCACTACATACTCAGAATGGCTTAAAAAAACAAAACTAACAAGCAAGCAAACGAAAAACACTGACAATACTAAAAAAAGTGCTGGCCAGATGGTGGAATAACTGGTGGAAATGCAAAAGGGCACAGTCACTTTAGAAAACAATTTGGCTGTTTCTTATAAAATTAAACATACACTTAACCATCTGACCCAGCAACCCCACTCCTAGCTGAAATGAAAGCTTATGCTGACACAATAACCTGCAAATGTTTATAGCAGCTTTATTCATAACCACCCAAATCAGAAAACAACCCAAACGTCCTTCAACTAATGAATGGATAAACTGTGGTTCATCAATACAATGGAATACTGCTCAACGAAAAGGAACAAACTACTGATACACACAACATGAACGACTCTCAAATGCATTACGCTAAGTAAAAGAAGCCAGACTCAGAAGGCCCCATACTGTACGATTCCATTTATATAACCTTCTGGAAAAGGCACAACTATGGGGGGCAGAAAACAGATCAGTAGTTGCCAAGTGCTGAACATAAAGGCGGGGGTTGACTAAATGGGACTCAGGGAAACTTTTAGGGGTGATGGATCTGCTCTATACCCAATTTGTGGAGGTGGTGGTTACACAACTATGGGCATTTGTCAAACTTCACAGAATTGTATGCTAAAAAAGGTGAATTTTACTGTAGGGAAATGAAAAAATTTTTAAATGAACAAAAGTGTACTCAAGGGTCAAGATTTAATAAAATAATTTTTATTCCTTGGTGAAGGACATTCTCAAGGGAAAATGACTTTTT